GTGTGTGTGTGTGTGTGTGTGTGTGCGTGTGTGTGTGTGTGTGTGTGTGGACTCCAGGCCGGCCGCGACGCAATTCGCTTTAACGCTGCCCACCATGGACGCTGACCTTCAGTACGTTCTGAACCGCATGGATCTCCCTCCTTTCCTGGTGGATGCGATGAGGGAGCAGCTCCGGGACCCCCCCGATTTGGACCCCCATTCTAAGTCTAAAATTTACACCAGAGAAAAAACCCAATCAGTGGATGGTTTTCGCTGAGGAGATCGACCGGGAACCCAGGAGCCCGGGCACCCAAAACCCACAAAAATCAGCCCGGAACCAATAACCAGGAACCCGGGAACCCGGAGCCAGGAACCCGGGAACCCAGCCTGCTACCAAAATCGGCAGGAAACTTTCGCCAAATCTTTCAATCTCCGCTGGGACCCCTTCAGTGCACGCACTGATTGGGGAAAAACCACGTAAACATAAACTTTTGGCGCTCCACGCGCGGATTTCTGGGATCTGCGCTGGAACCGGCGAGCGGAGCGCGCCAGGGGCGGCGCCGGGGGGCCCAGGCGCGGATCCAAGAAATCCGCGCGGAGCGCCAAAAGTTTCTGTTTATGTGGTTTTTCCGTCTTCGAATGCAAAGTCGGAGCATCTTCGAGATCTGATTGGGGAGACTCAGCGGGACCCTGCGTGCGAGAGTAGTGGAGCCAGGAGGAGGAGGCGGAGGAGGAGGAGGAGGAGGAGGAGGAGGAGGAGGAGGGAGGAGGAGGAGGATGGCAGGAGGAGGAGGAGGGAGGAGCGAGGAGAGGAGGGGGAGGAGGAGGAGGAGGAGGAGGAGGAGGAGGAGGAGGAGGAGGAGGAGGAGCGCATGGAGGAGGAGGAGGAAGGAGGAGAGGATAGGCGTCGAGGAGGAGAGATAGGATGGAGGAGGAGGAGGAGGCGACGCGCAGGAGGAGGAGGAGGAGGAGGAGGAGGAGGATGAAGAAGATAGGACCTTAGGAGGAGGAGGAGGAGGAGGAGGAGGAGGAGGAGGAGGAGGAGGAGGAGGAGGAGGAGGAGGAGGGGGAGAGGAGGAGGAGGGGAGGAGCAGGAGCAGCAGGAGCAGGAGCAGGAGCAGGAGGAGGAGGAGGAGGAGGGCAGGGGGGGGTCCTGACATGAAATCCTAGACATGATCGCATCGTACAAAAAATCAGGACGGGAGGTTTTTGGCTATTTTCGGCCCCGGGGGCCCTCGCCAGGCCTCGGGACCGTCAAAGAACGACGCGGGACGAAACACATGTCCCGGGGAAAGGGTCGGGACTTCCAGGGACGCCGTCCTGAAGAAATCAGGACGTCGCATGTCTGGGGCAACAATCTCAGAATGCATCCCCCCGCCATCGCTAAGAACAGCTCCCAAACACTTCTGGACGCGGACCGTGCGGATCGAGGAATCGCCGCACTGGGAGCATATCCGTATCCGGCCTGGGAGGGTCTTTCCTGGCAGCCTGGTGGTGGGGGCGGCTGCCCGGACCCCTAGAGCACGGCGGAACAGTTTTTTGTTGTGATCTCGGCGTGTGTTATATCGCATATACGCGAGCTGGGCAAATGATCATTCTCATCCTGCCCGTAGCTAAAGAAAACAGCGCGGCACCGCAGCCTTGTGCGTGTGCGAACGAGTGGACCAATTGCGTGCTGCTCTGGCTAACACTCCACAGCCTCCCTCTCACAGCTCCCCCCTCGGATCCCTGACCTTGATGGTGAATATTGGCGCCTTCTCACGGTCGTGCAACTCGAAGTCGTGGCTGTGGTCGGTCGCCTGGCACAACTGCTGGCCCTCCTCGATCCAGTTGAACCCCGAAGTGCTGTGCTTGAGCTCAATTTTCGCACCATAATCAACCATAGGGTTGGAGAAACATATTTTCCATGGATACGAAGCCTTGGTACGTAGGTCGTGGTTCATGTCCACGGATATGATGGTGCGGAACTTCATGTCCGTAGATCGCAAAACGAACGAGCTGTTGGCGTCCACCTCGACTGGCGCCATCTCGCCTGGGTTCGTGATGGCCCAGAATGTGTCGTGCTCCATCCTGCTGGGGTCAGGAACGCCGTACAGCGCGAATGAGTGTATCCCGAGAGGATCCACCCGCAGCCTGATCTTCCCAGGCGTCGTGGCGGACGCTCCGCTGAACGGCCATGCAGACGCGCTGCCGAAGAGAGCCGCAACGAATAAACCGAGGAAGTCCGATACCGTCATGGTGCCGGACAATCGTGCCGGTCTGCGCGGGATGCCCGACAGGGTCTGTTGAGTTCAAAAAGGATTAAGCCAAGCTGCCTTGAGCCCAAATGGCT